ATTTGAACTGGGAAATGAATATAAAACATATGTATAGCATCAAATGTAAAAATTGTATTGGCTGTGTTTTACCCAGGTGAGGAATCCTCCTGTTACTTGATCTTCTGAACAGTTTTTGACATAATTTGATTTGTTGCTAGTTTTTCACAAGTTTTTAGGAACCAAAATGATAGAGGGAGAGAGAGAGAGAAGCAAGTGTTAACATATCTATTTCTAATTTACATTCAACCAGAGCCCGTTATATTTCTGTATCCCCAGGCAGACAAATGTGATTCTGCTTCAGTAATTTTGGAAGGCTGGTAAATTATTGAACAGAGGGAAGCTGACCAATTTGCCAGATGCCATTTCACTTTAGACATATAAGTGAATGACCAACCTGCCAAAATGCTGAAGAGGTTTCTTAAAGTTTTCATTTTTCCCTGGGCAGCTTTGGTCAGAGGCTCTGCCCTGTACCTTTACATGGAATTGGGAGCAATTTTTCCTAACATGAAAAATATTGTCTTCTGTGTGTTGAAATGTACAGCCTTTTCTAGCTTATGTCCCTACCTTTGAACTCCTGAGCATTAGCCTCTTCTTGCTCTTAAAATAGCTAGAGAAAAGTAGGCACAAATAAAATTTATAAATATAAGAGAAGGCTTTTTGGAAAAGTGATGTCTCAGTTTCACAAAACGTGAATGAGAGAGAGAAAAAGAGTGTTCAAGGAAAAAAAGAGTAGATTTTTCTTAAAATTGTATGGATACTAACATGGGAATTGTATGGATACTAACATGGGATTTCAGTATTTGTTTTTATTATCAATTTTACATGATGTGACTACCTTCTCCCATCAATATTTGTATTAGGGTGCTATATATTTGGTAATGATCCTTTGATATTGGGAAGTGATTTTAAAAATATGATGATTAAACTAGGTTTCTTCCTTTTACGTTCATATTTTAAATAAAGCCACAGCTTTATTTATACAAAAGAAAAGCATTTGTTCCTGGGCAAATATTTTGAGGAAAGAGATCAAAGTAAACTGCATAAGGTTTTTACATCATTTCTGTATTATTTGGTATGTAGATCAATATCTGTACACATTTAATCTTTTATTTTCTAGTAACTTGTGATCATTGAGAAAGGGTTGAAACTATCTCATGAAGAATATACAATGGTGTGAAAAATTCCTCTGGAGAAATTTATGTTCCTTTCRTTTTTACCAAGTTGCAAATTTTCAGCATGGATGTGAAAAGCATTGTGTACAAGATGAAAATAATTCACTAAATTTGCCCCCTTTTATACAAAATAAAATGTTAAAGTTAAAGAATAATGGCAAGTTCCAATTATCCTGAGAGTCAGTCTAAGAGGATGAAAAGTCCAATAGAAAAGAAGAAAATGATTGAAATAATGCTCAAAAGGCAAACAGAGTCTGGATTATAAGAAGTCTGAGCATAATTCCCAAAGTCATAGGCGTTCATTGGGAGATTCACAGCCTGATAGTAACATAGGTTTGAAATATAGAAATATCACTGGATTGCCAGATGAGAGAACAGAAAAAAAAAATGTTAAGAGTTCTTGCTACAGAAACAGTAGTTGGGAGACTTTGCAATTAATCTAGGTAAAAATATTCAAAACCTACTCAATTAGTAAAAATGTGAATGTAAAGGAATGTTTTTGAGAGTTAGTGAACTAGAATTTTGCTTCCTAAAATGTTAAAAACTGATTATTAAGCAAAGGGAAGAGAAAGGAAGGGAAGGGGAGGTGAGGGGAGGAGACAAGAGGGGAGGAAAAAGAAGGAGGAGGAGGAGGAGGAAGAAGAAGAGGAAGAGGAGGAGGAGAAGGAGAAGAAGAAAAAGACATTAAGGGCAGGGCAAAAATTTGGGCCAGGAAAATTTGTGTTTATTTCACAGAAGAAATAAAGGAGAAATTACCATACAGAGAGATTATACTAATGTTTTCTAATCTGATTTAAAGATTTGAAATCTTATAGGACCATTAAAGGAAACATGTGATTTAGTCATAAGTGTATGTGCATATGTGTGTTTTATCTTAGTTTCARGTGACATGATTTAGTAGTAAATGTAATAAAATAAAAAAATTTTCCCTAAAAATTATTTTAGATATCTCCTGTATTAGATACATGAGAATGGTGGGAACACGAGGTTAAGAGAATGATTCTATAAAATGGGCTCTCTGTGCTGACCCCCACATACTTTCTTTGCTAAAAAGCAATTCACCCGCACCCCTGCCTGGCCTAAGTAGACAGCAAACTGAGGTGGGGTTAAGGTCAGGTAGTCAATGTAGGTAATGAATGCAATGTTAGGGGTCTAGAGAGGATGACTACTGGTTATCAGAGAGAGAACAATTTGTTGTTAGCCTCTGTGATCCTTGTTCTCCTAGACATTGTGGGTTGCTGAAAATTTACCTCCTTGTTCCTTCCCTTGGTCACATACATGGAGAAGAAAGAGAAGACAATATTTACAAAGAGGGGTTCTGAGGTCTATAAAAGAGCAAGATGCACCCTCTCCCATGGACAGCAGCTCTGGGGTCCCTTTTCTGCAGAAAAGTCTGTTTCTGTCCCTTTCTTAAATAAAATTTGCTTTCTAAGCTTTCTTGCCTTGGCTTCTTGGGTGTTTAATTTTCAGCACTGGGGAATAAGGACATGTTCCAAGACTGGTATCCTTACTTGATGTCCTTTCAGATCTCTTAGTAAAAATTTAAAATTAACAGATTTCAGAAATCTTCTTTAACAATGTGAGATTTAATGTGTTGCTACCTTCAGTTAACATTGCTACTGCTACAATTCATTCATTTGCAGATTTAGGYACCTTCTCAATCTGAAAATGCTCTCAAAAGTCCAGGAAATCAGTCATAAGAATGTGGGGAACTTTCATTCACAACTGGAAGCCTGGCAACAGTGCAAACACATTAGGAGGATCCTTAGGGTTTGACTCTTATCCTTCTAGCTCTCAATTCAGGGAGCAGAATATGCATTCCACTTAGGCTTTCCTTTGTTTTAGTTTAAATGAGACAGAGTCCTGATATTGCCTCTTAGTGAAGAGTGTGGACAGAATACCAAAATCTTTTTATACAATTTAGGTCACAGAAAGCTTTAGTGCCTAGTCTACCCATCACCTTCATTTTTTAATAACAGCCTCCCCCAACAACTTTCATAAAGAAAATGTTTTACTGTCCTCTTCCCATCAGTTTTTCTGTAAGTGAAAGTTTGGAAGTGTGTGGGGCCAGGAGGCATAAGCAGTTGAGAATATTTTATGATGCTGAGCATGTCAGATTTTAAGCTTCATGGGTTTTAAACACACACTTCTGAATAGCTTTGCCCTCATACCTGATCTTTCTAGCCCAGCAGTCTTAAAAAAAGATGGCAATTACCACTTCATCATGTTCACTGATATATTATTTCTGTCTCTTTTTTATTCTTTTCAGTGATTTAAAGATTTGGAAGGAAGAACAAAAGTAGGTATTCTAGGAAAAGGCAATTTTGAAGTATGAAAATATATTAAAAAATATGGAAGACACTACTTTCCCTCAGCTTTTGAAATAAGTGCAAACAAAATTTTACTCTTCTGTGTACAATTATTCATTTATTTCCATAGATATTTATGATGAAGTTGTGCAGTAGCAGTTGATCATGATTAAAATTGAACTCCAAGGAATTTCAGGTATAGGCGGATGGCAAAGATGGTGGGGCCTCATATGCTTTTCTGTAGTATATCTAGACTTCAGAGAAATAAACTGGTGATAGACTCTGTTACAAGACAGGCAATGCTAATCATTTCTTCCACCTCCGTGTAGATGTAAAGGTGTAGTTTAATTTTTTTCTGTCTATGTTTATTTTTAATGAGATCATAAGAATAATTTCAGCATATAATGTTCTAACTAGCATTCACTAGAATTGTATATGTGTTTTATTCATGTATAGGTGTTGTATTTCGAGACAAATGTTTTTATTATTATTATGTCAATCTTATTCATATTTGTTACTGTGTTTTATGGCTTCATTTTCTGAGTGTGTGTGTGTGACATATTGAACAGTCTCACAGAAGTTTTCTAGGAAACTAATATTCCTTTCAGAATCATAAAGTGTCTATGATATTGGAAACTTTAATATAGGATACAGTATTAAATGAATTATAAATGTAAGTAATTTTGAGACATTTTTCAAGTATATAGTAATCTTCAGAACCATTTACAACAAACGTAAAACAGGGAATATTGTTGAATTGATCAAAAGCAATTTCTTACAGAGGGGATATTTTATTTGAATTCCAGTTTCATTTCTTTCCAACATTATTTGCTCATTTAAATAAATTTCTATTTTATTTAGATACGAAATAATTCTTCATAAAAGCATTTTATACATACCAAAATTTTCCTATAATGGCATCCTTAAAAAATGRCCTCTACTTTTCATATAAAAATATAGTATAGAAAGTTTGCTGCTGTCAGAATATATCTTCAGTTGTTGACCTTTCACTTTCCTTTTCTTACAGGTTCTCTCAAATTTTGTCCTTTCTCTGAAATGATGCATTGCCTCATTAGCCAGAATCCTGGGTCTACTTGTCCATAAATTTTGTTTCAACACTCATTTACATTTTCTTGGTTACACATAAATGTAGAAGTCACAGAGATTTGAAAGGATTTCAGATTTACAGATGAACATCAAATTACTTGGCTCTTATGTTAAATAAAATTATTAAAGAAAACACTAATATTCTTACACCAAAATTAAAAATAGTAAGGGGGATGGGTTAACTACACCAAATTAAACAGAAGCTTGTTGTTTTTTGCCCACATGATGTGAATAAATACAAATTTATAAGAAGATTTTAAGATTACTTATTGTAGTTTAAAAAATGTATATAGTTGGTAGTCACTATCAAATGAAATTTTCTGTTTACTGTTATTATTTTTAACAGTATAGTTATTTACAAAAAGAAAAGTTGATTTTTTAAAATTTCTAAAGCTCTGCCATAATCTGCTGGGTCACCAGCCACATATACCACATCATCCCTGTAGTTCACAAACAGTGTCTGGCCATCAAGGGATTAAGCCAGAGAAGTACACTGGGGCTTCTCTGTCTTGCTGCTGGTACTGATAGGTTCTTGCTTTGGTTCATCTATGATGACCTTGCCTACCAAGTCTTTGATCTTGCTGCTGTGATCTGACAGCACAGAACCAGCAGTAGTTGAGGCTGAAGCAAAGGATATTGATAGTGTCCTCACATCTAGTGTATAAATATGTTTACCTCTGGTGATAACCCATGGCCTGGCYTGGCCCTCCCTGCCTCCAGAAGCCCAGAGGGATTCATCTGGAGAGACAGTCACAATGTTCAAATAGCCTGTGTGGTTGATATGATTGATCTTTAACTTGCAGTGGGGCAAATTCCACACCTTGAACCAGCTTGTCCCAGCCACAAGAAATAGTGACCAGGTAGCTGCTGTTGTGTACAAAGTGAACAGAAGCCATGCCTTCGATGGGTTTCTCATTCTAGGCAATGCATTTCTATATATCCAAAGTATTCTATAACTTAATGGTTTTGTCTTGGGATTCAGAGACCCTCTTCTAATTGTTAGAAATCTACACTCAACGCAACTTTGGTATGGTGCACAATTCTTCTCCTGGTGATGCCCGTTGTGAGATCTCAGAGGTGAAGAGTTCCACCCCACGTACCTGAGAAAACAAATTGGCCCTTCATGGAGATCAACACATCACCAACAAAGTGGGAATGACATTGCAGAGCACACTGTGGCATGTCACATTTGATCTCATCCCTGGTCAGTGGACAGTGTCATGTTGAGGAAGCATGTTCTTAGTTACCCAATCATTATTGCCCTTGAGAGTATCACAAAGTGTCATCTATTCAGTGATGACAGGGGTGGTATCACCATAGCAACAAGGATGACACCACATAACTCGGACAGATGAGCACCACACTTCAACATATCTATTTTTACACCTTCATTAAGGTAAATTTAATGCACAGTAATTTGCATATGTTTAAACACAGGAATTTTGAAGTATGTATACCCCCATGAAATATCACCACACTCAAGACAAAGAACACATCTGTCACTCTGTTAAGGTTTGGATATGAAGTGTCCCCCAAATCCCCTGTGTTAATGCAGAAATATTCTGAGATGAAATTATTGGACTGTGAAAGCTATAACCTAATTAGTTTGAATAAACTGTGTAGGTGATCTGTAGGCAGGTGGGACATAGCTGGCAGGGACTGGTCACAGAGTTGTGCCCTGGAAGTGCTCATCTTCCCTGCAGCACCTTCCTGGTCTCTGCTCCATGGCTGCACTAGGAAAGCAGCTTCCCTCTGCCATATTTTTTCCCAATGATGTTCTGCCTCTCATGCCATGAACCAAAGTAAACTTTTCCTCCTCTAAGTTGTTCTTGTCAGGTATTTTAGTCAGCAATGAAAACATGACTAAAACATACCCCAAATGTTTCTTATGCCTCTTTATAATCCTTTCGTTCACTCATCATTCCCAACTTCACACATTTCCCTGATAAACATTGATACTCTATTACTTGAGGTTCCTTAGAATTTTTATAAATAGAATCTAGTAAATTCTATGTTTTTTGTCTGGCCTCATCAATATAATAATTTTTTATTAATCCATTTTGTTATGTTCCATCAATAGTTGATTATTCTTTTTGGCTGACTTAGTATTCTATTATATGGATCTACAACAAATTATTCATTCATATATCTGTTGTTAGACGTTCAGATTATTTGCAGTTTTTGATGACAACAAATAAGCTATTACAAACATTACATGATTTTGTGTTTTTCTTTTATAATACTTAGGAATACATTGACTATGTCTTGGTCAGTTATATGTTTAACTTTTCAGAAATTACCTGTTTTCCATTTGATATTCTCTTCAGCAGTATATTAGAATTTCAGTTTTTCCACATCTTTGCTAACCCTAGGTATCATCCTAGTGAGAGTGCGGTGGTAACTAATTGTGATTTAAATTCCTATTTTCTGAATATTTAAGAGCCTTGCACACTTTTCTCCTATGTATACTTGCCATTAATATCTTCTTTTTCTAATTGTCTATTTTTTGTCATTTTAAAAATTGAATTATTTTTTCTTATCAGGTGGAAGAATAATTCATACTTTCCAGATAAAGTTCTGTTTGATATGTAGTTTGAAAAATGTGTATTCCTTTGTATCTTTGTAATCATATTTTATATAAAGAGAAGTTTGATTTTAATGAAAACAAATTTAATGATCTTTTTCTTTCATAGTTGGTGATTTTTCCTTATAACTAAGAGAATTTGTCAATGCGAGTAAAATTATATTCTATGTTTTCTTTTTAATTTGATATTTTAACTCTTATTCAGACTTATGATCCACTTAGAGTTGATTTTAATTTACATTAAGAAGTTGTTTATTCTGTTTGTACATATCCATTTCTTTCATTGGTTGAAAGAAGTATAATTTCCCCTTTGTATTGCCTTATCATTTTGTCAAAATAAATTGACATCACATGTTGTATTTCTTGACTCCATTCTACTTCATTGTTTTATATGTCTATCTTCATGCATGTGCCATGTTGTTTTTAGCTGTGGCTTTATAAGAAGTTTTAAAATAAGATGTACATCATCTCGTTTTGTTTTAAATTTTTATAAAAAGCCTTGGCTATTCTATGTAATCCTTATTTCCATGTGATTTTATAAACTGTTAATTTTTCCTAAAAATTGATCTTGAAATTTAATTTTGGATTGTATACATAGACCAATTTTGGTAGAATTAATCTCTTAACAATATCGMGTGTTTTGATTCTTGAACATCATAAGCTTCCCATTCATTTTAATCTTCTTGACTTTCTTAAATAATTTCTAATTCTTCTATGCTAGTTTATAGAAATCAGTTGACTTTTGTATTGACAGTGTATGCTGTGACTTTGCAGAAATTATCAGTTTTAGTAGCTTTTATTTTTATTTTTGATCAATTCATTAGAATAATAATTTTTTTAATAGGGAGAGTTTCACTTTACATATAATTTATGTTTTCATATGCATTCTTGACTTGTTGTACTTTGAATAACCTTTATTATAGTGTGGAGAAAAAGTGGTGAAAACAAACTTACTTTTTTTAATTGCAAATAGGAAAGTTACATCAGATTTGTTCCACTGTTTTTCCTTTTCCTATACCTCTCCCTTCCCTCCATTCCCTTTTGTCTAATCCACTGAACATATATTTTATTATATAAAGAAACCATTTAATGTGTCAAATTTAAGTAAARGAATTGCTGCAGGGCTGTCATAGATGCTTTTTGTCAAGGGATGAAATACCCTCTGATTCGAAGATTGATGAAATTTTATCAATAATGTATATTGGCATACTAAAGGTATTTTTATATCCAATACTAAAATAAAATATCAAATTTCCTTACCATGTTTATTAATATTATAGTCAAAATGTTTTAAAACATTTGATTACATTTTTGTATATATAAAGTGGACACCTATTTTACAGAAAGGAGGTAAAGAGTTATCAAAAGTCTGCATTTAGATATTAGATTGTAATTTCCAATTTGACTTCCTGAAGTTCACTCAGAATTGCAAGGTAGATTCAAATAATTTCCTTCTCTCTTTATTTTCTCTTTTCTTTATAATACATGAATAATATGTTGAAATCCATTTTCAATGTTTTTAGTATGCTAAATTTTAAACTAAATGGGAAAAAATGAACAAATCTTGGAAAATTAAATGACATTAATATGAATGCATTTTAACAGGTGGAAAGTATTTTTCTTTTAAGGAACATATTGAATATGAACACTTTAATAGRTTTTTTATTATTATTACTGAGATTTTTAGTTAACACAAGAAATGAAATTTAGATGTCAATAACATGATACAAAATAATTAAACCTCTTTCTAATTAAAGCATTTCAAATTGTTTACAATAGAGATAAGTAAAAGATACACTACTTGCAAGCCATCTYTTAGAATCGAAGTAAAGTAATTGCTTAGGATCCAGACAGCTGTACCTAAGTTTCAGTAGTGATACTAATTGTCTCTGAAGCTTTAGAAAACTGATTTTTCCTCTCTGGGCCTTAACTGTTTTACTATTTAAACATAGGTGTCCAAGTAAACGATATTGAATCTAGATGAATGAAATTGTTTTAGCTTTCCATTATTGTAACAAAATATTTGAGATATTCAGCTTAAAAAGAGGAAAGGTTTTTTCTGCCTTGTGGTTTCAGTTCATGATTGATCARCTTTGCTGTTGGAGGCAAGGCAATGCATCATGGTGGAAGTGCATAACAGAACAAACTGCTTACATTCTGGCACAGATTAAGTGAAGAGGGAGAGGAAGGAACTGGCATTCTACAATCCCCTTTAAGGGCATACTACAATGACCTAAATCCTCCCATGAGACCCTAACTCTTAACATTGCCACCACTTCCTAATTAGCACCTCCCTTGGTACCAACCTTTTAACATAAGGGCCTTTGGAGGGTACTTATTCAAACAATGACAGAAATTAAATATAGAATTTTAAAAAGCAGGAAATTCTGTTTCCTAAAAACCTCACCTTCTTTTAGAAGATCAATTAGCAAAAGTCTAATTGGACTAGTTAAAGCAATACATTTTTTAATTAAGATACTTTTCTATTTTATTTAGTTTAGTTTATTATTTTTTTCATTTTTATATTTTATACAGAATGAGTTCTAACTTAGGGATGATTTCAGCAAAAAAAAATCAGGAAGATATTTTTATATTACCTGTTCATGAGCACTTATTAAAAAGATATAGTTTGGGCTGGGGATGTGGCTCAAGTGGTAGCACGCTCGYCTGGCATGCACGGGGCACTGCATTCGATGCTCAGCACCAGATAAAAATAAAATAAAGATGTTGTGTCCACCAAAAACTAAAAAATAAATATTAAAAAATTCTCTCTCTCTCTCTCTCTCTCTTTCTCACTCTCTCAAAAAAGAAAAAAAAGATATAGTTTGCTTGAGTCAAACTAAGTATACAGATTTTCTAGTACACTGTTATAAAGTTAGAATTTATATATTTATGCTTATGTAGTTATTTCTCCTTAAAATAATTTTATTTTCTAATATAATAGATTAAACCGGACTTAACATTATGAAACAAAGAAATAGAGGCAAATAAACCTGAGAAAGACAGAGAAAAGAAAAGGCAAATAAGGAAAAAAAAATAACTTCAAAGAAGACATTGTTATATAGGTCTTTCTACTTCCATTTTCAGAAATTATAAATATCAAACTTCTATAATTATGAAACTAAAGTTCTCTTGGTAAATTTAAGACTTAAGTGTGTGTGTGTGGTTTTTTCTTTAGGAAAATTAAGATATTCAAAAGTTTAAAAAACATATTATAACCTTTATAATAGTACATTTGATTACAGAAATTTATTTGTTTGTAATTACTAAAATAAATGAGACTCTTCAGAAAATAGTTTACTTGTGTTATCTCCCTCATTGTTTTACTACCATTTGGCATTAATGAAAACACACACACATTAAAATCATTGTTTTTTAAGAAAAGGGCAGTTAGGATTACATGAAATCATTTGGGTGAAACCCACACTGTCAAATCCTGCTGAGGGAGRGGGACCAGAAGAGATAAACCCATCAGAGGGAGAGGGACCCGAAGAGATACACACATGCTTCCCACATCTTTCTTTCCAAGTGCTGTCCTGCACCTGCCAGACCTCTACCAGAAAGAAGGCCATCACCAAATGCACCTTCTTCACATTGGACCTCCAGAATTGAGAGTCAAAATGAATTCCTTTTCTTTACAAATGTACATAACCTGTGCCATTTAGTTATTAGCATCAGAAAATATATTAATCCATCTCATAAATTTTTTTTATTAGTTGCTCAAGACAATACAATGATCTTGACATATCATATATTTGATTCAATTGAGGTACGAATTCTTATTTTYCCACGTGTACAGATT